AATTAATTTTAAAAAAAAAGTTTTTTCCGAAACCTTTTTTTTTTTTTTTTTTTTTTTTTTTTAGGAGTTAATTGTTTTTTATCTCAGTAATTTGCAAAAAAATAATAAAAAATAAAAAATAAAATAAATAAATAATTAAATAAATCACTGGAAAGCATTTAACAAATAGGCCACAACAAATGTATTCTTAGTACATTGACTTTTATCTCATTTGGTGTTCTCTTCCTACAGCCTTGTCAAGTTCAGCTCAGTCCCTTCATTGATGAGATGTCAAAGTACAAATGTTTCGGGTGTCTCCACCGACTGAGTTCTGGTTTAGATTATTTCAGGGTAGTTCAAAAAATTTACCCTGAATCCTCATCTAAATTTCCTTGGGGGGGTCTGGCACGTACAAGACTTTGTCTGAAGGCGTTCACAGTTGATACATTTTAGTTGTGAAAATCACATCTTCTGCCTTGATTTACTTACTCTTCAGAGCAATTTGTGCATTTTAGGAGGGATTCTCCTTTTGCTGGAGCGATAACAACAGTTGGTCTTCTGCAAAGTTCTGAATCAAAAGGGAATCTGAATCTCAATTGCTTGTTAAATAACCTGTTTGTCCAAAGTCGTGCTTTGACGGTTGCCCCAACTGACCTGTCAGAACCTATAGTGCAAAACACCTGAAGGGATATAAGGTTTAATTCCCTGACAGAAAGGTGCCATAAATTGTTTGCTTGTTTATTTGTGTTATTAATTAGGTACACAGGACACTGCCCTGGACTCAGGTTCAGCATGGGCAAACCTTACGGGATGCTCACAGCCGAACTGCTGTCTCAGAGGACATGGCACCCAGAGTCGGACATAACTCATCTGTCAGAAAACATTCCTGATGACGTGTTTCGGAAGTCAATACCAGGATACACAGGTACTGAATAAGTTGGCCAATTTACCCTGCGCAATGTAATAATGATATTGGTTGTTTAGATGCACAAACGACAAAATGTGTTTCTCTTCTTCTTGCAATAAATTTCTGAGTTGTGAACAGTAACGTGAGACCAAAGTGGACATCTCTAAACTGCTTAATTATTCAGGAGAGGCGACAAGTGAAGTGAAACAGTGATACAGCAGAGGGGATTAAAAAGGTCACACGCAGGTGGTTAACAAAACCTGCTAACGGAAGTGAATCACTATGATAAAGCAACAGAAAATATGTCTGCAGCATCTAAAAGTCCTTCAGTTTCTCAGATGAGTTGAATCAAATTCAGTATATTGTCTTTTTTTTATTTCAAAAGTTCTGATTTTAAATCAAAACAACATAGAAAATATTATATTTGAATTTAATTGAATTGAAAAATACTTTATTTATTCCAAAGGGGAAATTAGATGTTGTCATAATGCATATCAACCAGGTATTTCTGAAGAGTCATTATGGATGGTGATGCTGTGCATCTCCTTGCAGTGAAGCTGAAGAGGCCTCTGACTGAAGACTGTTTCTGTATGAAAATCTCATGACTGTCATACAGAAACATAAATAAATAAACATGAAAGTGAGACAAAGAGGAATAAAAAAAAATTAAGCAACAATTATGTTAAGTTTATACTGTTGAAAATTATAAACAAATATTAATTTATGTATAGTAAAATAACCTGGGAAAGTACTTATTTTTCATTTGTTGGATGTAGTATTTGGCACATAAATTTCTTTATCAAGCTACTTATTTATTTCTATGTTTATTGCCAGTTATGTCAAAGTTAGTAAGAACTACTCCTCATTTGCTTTTTGCCGCTCCCCTTAAATTCCTGTCTGGTTAGACAGCCGGGATGTTGGAGTTGGGGATGTGATTAACGGAGGAGACGGCTTGACCTTCTGTATCCATGACGCCTTCTTTTTTAACCCCTCTAGGATTTAGATTCATAGTTCAGGTATTAGTTGAGCTCATGAGATGCTGATCATCTGCTCCAAGTTGTAAAGCCGGTACCTTGTTGCCATGGTTATGCATCAAAACAATATTCCTGACACTGCATGCTGCCCTCTGCTGACAAGCTTTCTTTATGCACTTCATTTAGTTTTTTCACCCTGTAAAAAAAAATTACTAATACTGCCAAACTTGCCCTCTTGGAACCCCACAGAGAATCTATGCCGTTTAGCTCTAGAGAAAGACCGGAGCCACTAACACAGATGAGCTGAAGGCCACTGTTAAAACAACCAGAGCTTCCTTAGCAACTCAGAAAGCCACAGGGTGATCATCTCTTGCACCGATGCAGCATTTCATGCAAAATGAGCCTCTATACCAAGTATTCAGTATAAAGACTATGCAAGATATGACATTACTATTCAGGAAGCTCTCTTTTTGTTGAAAATAAAGTGTTTTATCGGAGGTTATTCACATTTTTCTTAGAAATATATTTTAGTAGTTGCAGAAAACCATAATAATAGAAATGAACGCATATATATTGGAAATATGTAACACTATGAAATGAATATAAGTAATTTTCACTTTTTGAATTAAATTACTGAAATAAGATAATGTTCTAGGGCTGCACCGTGGTGGAGTAGCACCGCTGCCTTGCAGCAAGAACGTTGTGGGTTTTAATCCCAGCTTGGAGTCTTTCTGCAAGGAGTTTGCATGTTCTGAGTATTCAACAATTTTTCACAGTAGGATTGGTGTAAAATTCGACTGCCATCGGAGTCCATACGCACAAAGTCCTAATCTTAGCAAAACTTCTGTTAAAATAGTCGAAAACTGAACCCTTAATGTTGATGTTTTGCTAGGTTTCATTCCAAGAAGTCGGAACTACTACGGCTGCAACTACAATGTGACCTGTAAGAAAGCACAGAGTGAAGTTTATCTGGCAGATCAGGTGAAGCGCCAGCAACGATCAAAGCGTCTTCCTAGCATCAACACCTATGGCAGTGAACACCTTGAAGTAAATTCATTATCTCTCTTACACACAAATCTTTAGCTTCACCTCTCTCTTCTTGTTTCACAATAATGTTGGCAAAAAAAAAAAAGCTAATTCATTTAACGCACAATGTCCTTCTTTGTGTTGGACTGGACTGTCTGCTGCTCCAGCAACTGCCTGATTGCACCATGGATCTACCTCACTTGCTCTCTGGTGTCTGTTTTAGTTATAGCAAGCTCCCTGCAAATTGAATCATTTTTATACCTTTTGCAGATCTGCACTGGTACCGAATTGCATCCATATTGGACATTTCCCTTTGGTGATAATTGCATTTCAAAAGGGTTATTGGTGTGATCTTTTTAGTTTATCAGTTAATCCCAGCACTACTCTTGGATTTAGTGGTTTGCAAGATTTTTGCAAAACCTTTTTAGATTTTTGTTACCACTTTTTCAGAAAGTGTAACTTCAGGGTCTAACATTATGACTACCCATCTAATACAGCACTAGTAGTCTGCCTTTTGGTGGCAAAAAGGCTCACAACAATCAAAGCATAGACTCCACCAGACCCCTGAAGGTGTGCTGTGGTACCTGGCACAAAGAAATCAGTACATCTGAAAAGTCCTGTAAGTTGATAATTTTCCTGTGATTTTCACCCAGAGAGCCAAATCTCCGGTGACAGCAGCGTTGGACAAGGTGTTTGTCTACCAGTCCTTACAGCCTTTCATTCCTCCAGGAAATCCTTACCAAATGGAAGATGATAACCCCAAGAAGTACTTCATCCCAGGTACAGAACACAGAAGAATCTGTCTCTAATTATTCAGACGAGAACCTCTTCACAATCTTAGAGTTTGATTGCTTTCTTTCTTTCTTTTTTATGGAAACTTTATGTAAATAAGGTCACTTCTATTTCTGTTAATATTAATCTAAAGTTTTAAAGTTTCGCAACAGGTTTTTGATATGGGCCATGTCGGCAGTTACCCTGGGCAGCATTAGAAAGGGCCGTCGACCAGATAAACATAAAACACAACATATCATTTGTGCCCTAGAGAAGTTTTGTGATGCATTTGTTGAGTAGGCCTGCCATTCTTCCTGCTGAGGATGGGGAGCCTATTTTACTTGCTTTGTGTTAGATTAGATTTATCCCATTCCAGGATAATATCAGACAATATTATCCCTGTATTTTAATTAGAGGACAGGAGTTTGACCAGGATGCCATGTATATAAGTACTGTCTCTGGTTTATCTATGGAAAATGTACCACTGAGGAAGTTGCGCAATATTCTGGACATTTCCTTTGGGGTGAATGGCTGCTGTTCGACATCCAAAAACCGGCCTGTTAGTGAAGGCATTATTACAAAAAAGGGCTTTTTGGCAAATGCAACAACAGTTATTATTAACACTTATGAACACTTATTTTATAACAAAAGGTAAAACTTGGTCAACCAAGTTCAAATTCAACAACTATCAGTAGGATTTGCTGTGGGGCTTTTTGAAAGGCCACACCAGATGTCTGATTTGTGATCTTGGTTCAGTTTTGATGTGTATTTGGGTTTATTGTTCTGTGGGAACCTGTTATTCTATCCAAGTTTCAACCTTTTGACCTAAACAGTCATCGTAGAATTAAAAACCAAAATGTTTAGGGCGGTGCTTCAAACGTGCTCAACAGGGGTTCACTGGACAAAAGATAAAGAGCCATTCTCCTCTTACATACAGAGTGATGTCTTTTCGCAGGGTTTACAGGACATGTGCCATTTGCCCACAACTTCTATGGCAAAGGATTTTCCATCACCACCAATCAGGCACTAAAAGAGTATGGGAAACATCAGAGACGCTTGAAGGCAGACGAAAGAGATCCAACACACCTGCCCACGTTCTATTCATCCAAAAAAGGCGTGATCCCAGGATTCACGGGGCATATACCAGGTTTGTGCTGCAAAACTGTAAGACCTTCTAGATCATTGTCTTAAGGTTAACTTTAAGACCTTGATGTAGAAGCCAACGCAACTTTACTGGTGAGCTTAAAGCGTGACGCATGTTTCTGCAAAAACCCCCACAGGATACAAGTTTATGGTGGGGGGTACGGTCGGCCGGCTCTCTGAGGTCGCATATGGAAAGACCTTCAGTAAAATTACCGATCCATGAAAGCCTCCTGCTTCCCCTCCATAGAGCACAACAATTCTCTACCGCGAGCAACCTCCTAGAAAAATAAAACTGATTGCAGTTTAAAGTGTTTTAGGTCTTTATTGAGAGACTGATTGTCACAGGGCATTAGAGGGAGCAACCATGAAATAACAAAAACACTGAAGATGTGAAAAAAAAGTTTCACATTAAAATCCTCCATTTTCCAAATGTTAAAAAGAAAAAAAACAAACACATTTTTCTTCCCTTCATAAAATGTTTGAGTAGTCTGTTAAAACATACCTGGCGCACATGTGATACACGACTCAGCCACTAGGGGGCTTACTGTAGCGCAGCAAAACAACAACAACAACAACAACAACAACAACAAAACCAGAAAATTTCCAAAACCAAATGTACAACCAAGCTGTAGATCACTGAAGGATAAGAGCACCTACTGCATGTTTCTTAGTTCATGCACCTACAGTGAGTTCATGCTGGGAATATAACAGGAAAGGAAGCTGGTTAGAATAAAAGTTGCTGGGTTTGATATTTTTGGCACCGACACGAATATTTTAGTTTGTTTGTTTTACCTACTTTAGAAATAAAAACCTAATCTTTGTGGTGGTTTGTAGAAATGCAAGCAAATACAAAGAAAATATATATAAGCACCAAATCCTGATTATCCAGATTGCACCTTATTGAACCTTATTCATTTCGACATTAAGAAAAATGTTTGTATTTGCTTTTATTTATTTTATCAAACTGTGGTCAGAAACTTCACAGAAAAAAAGGAGAAAATACTCATATGTGTGTTTCATCATTTTCTGTGATTCAGAGAGCTTAGAATAAAACGTGTTAACCTGTCAGATTGGTCTATTGAATGTAACTTTAAAAAATTGCACAATTAAATTTTCATCAATTTTACACTATTTGTTTTGAAACATCCCTACTTTTAAACTGAAAAACAATTAGAAAAACATCCTTAACCTTACAAATAATAATCTTTTCATAAAATCCCTAATGGAAAGACATGTTGGTATTCCTGCTGGATAACATTTAGTTGTCTCCCATTACTGTGGTAATATTCCTGCTCTTGTGCTTTTTTTGGTGCAGTGTTTTTGTTGCAGAATAAAAAGTTTAATCGGACTTTGTAGAAGTTGTTCTGCACTTAACATTTTGTGTCATTAGAGTAAGTAGTCACATAGGTATGATTTAGTTTTCGGCACCCAAGCCAGTCTGAGGTGGTCCCAGCTTTATGGATCTAATGGACTGAGCCAAAAGTCCAATCTGAGATCTGTCCAGCTGCAGCCACTGAGATGGTCGCCTGTGCATTTGGAGAAGAAAAGAATAGAAGGAAGTTAATCAGAGGGGAAAAAATGACAGAAGCTACTGAAAAAAAAAATACAGTTGAAAATGAATTAAAATTAAAATTAAGGCTGGGCAATATTGCTTAAAAATAAAATCTCTGACCAAATCCAATTTTCAAATTTAATTGCCCTTTTCCCCTCCATTTCTTTTCCGAAATTACGAAGGAGGACACAAAATATTCTCAAAAACTGTCTTGCATTTGACTTGAATTCAACATCCGAATAAATAGAAGCTGTGAAACACACTTGTCAAACAAGAAGGTAAACTTCGGTTAGGCTGACGTCACTCTGAACTATTGAAACCCATTTCAGCATTGGTTTAAAAAAAAAAAATCAAAAAAAAAAAATCACATTTTCCAAAAATGAAATCCTGAAAAACAGAAAATTTGATTCATAAAATGAATTTATTGCCCAGCCTTATTTAAAAATGTAGTTTTTCGTTTGTTACTTCTCATTACCTTCGTTTTTGTGCTTCAGTGTGAGGCTGGGACCTTTTCTCAGCTCTGCTAGAAACACCAGCTGCTCCAAACAGCTTGGCCCACCGCAGGCCGCTCTGACAGGGACTGTCTTCCTGGACGGAAGCTGTTGCGTTTTGGCTTCTGCGGTCTTTTTCCACTTCTCTCTCGTTCTCCCTACCGTCCGCATTGGTTTGAAACAAAGTAGTACTTCTATGATCTAGGCTGACGTTCACGGCTTTTGCTACACTCTGCACAAAATCGGGCTTGTTTGACAAAGAAGCCGAAAGCGGATTCCTGTTGTTCTGCGTGGCCCCATAATCCTGCTTGCAGCAGCTTGAACTCTGAGACCGTAGAAACTCCTGCTCTCTCCGGTGCGATTGACTGTTTCGCCTGCCGTTTTCCGACTTTCTGTTGGCTTGCAGCTTTGGCCAACTGGTCACAAGCAGGGCGGAGCACGGCTGAGGCGGGAGAGCGTCGCGCTCCTCCGGACACAGCTGTCTTTGACTTAACAGTCGTGGCTCCAGGAGAAGATTCAGGTCAAAGGGCAGCACTGAGAGCGGCTGAAGGAGAAGAAGCAGCTCCTGGAAGAGAGGCTGACAGCGACTCAGTGACGTGAACAGGAACCCCCAGGTGTGGTAGTACGCAGTAACGACATCTGTAAGAAAAAAAAAACAAACCCCACAGACATTCCAATGGCTCTGAAAGAAGTTTAAAGTAAGAGTCGGAGTTTATGTGTCTGGTCTTGCTTTACTTCTAAACACCCAAATTACAAGGATTGTCAACCAGATGCCACACATTTATCTGCAGTAGTCAACATCCTACAAATATGTTCAGGTTTTTTGTAAAGCTCAAGATTGATTTGTGCTTAATCTGAAAGTATCTTGCAAAAGTATTTCAGTCACTCCTTTATTATTTTATTTTATTTTATTTGCATTTATGTGTCGCAGTAGAGATTCTAAACTTTGTGGCATATGTGACCTCAGGACAGCATCTCTGCCTGAGCAGAGACTGACCAAGTGACTGACATCTGCTTACTGGTCTGGCCCATGGTGAAAATAGAGGAGCTGATTCTGTAGACTGGTAAGCTTGGACAGACAAAAAAAAAAAGCTTGTTCATCGATACCTGTTTAGGATAACAACACCTGTTACGTTACGATGCTGTCCCAGTTCATTGGCTCACCTTTTTGACTCTGCAGGTGACTAAGCCAGAACTCCAAAGCTCTCAAGCTGCAAGACAAGAAATAAGCCCAGAAAGTACAGGTTGTATTTCAACTTCTCATATGGTTCAGCAGAAAGGAAGTGACTTCAGGTCTTACTTGAGAAGGCCCATGAGGAAGGCTCTCAGTCTCATACAGTGGCTGGTGAGCTCGGAGCACCGCTTTATTTTGGAAACGAGGCTGTGGAGGACCTTGGTGGACGGACCTACAGCAGAGATAACAATATCTGTGAATTTATCCCTCAAGCATCTACAAGTATCCGGCCAGTCGAAGCACCGGGAAGCAAAACTGCAAATACCCATTGTTGTGGAGATCTCCACCACACTCCAGGAGTGATTGCGGCGCTGCCCAATGATGAAATCCAGCTTGTGGTCCCTCAGCCCGTCCTCTAAAATGTTCTGAATTGCAGGACACAAGTGTTCTAGGACAAGGCCGGCTATGGTGGGACTGTAGGAGCTGTTACCCAGACGCATCTGTGCCGCCAGGAAACACAACAAAAAAAGAAGGGATGCAGACTGTGCTGTAATGTGTGTCCTGCTGCTGACACAAGTTATTTGACTCTTGTGCTGAATTATTGGTGTCATGCTTTCTCTTGGGACGCGTTGTTCTTGGTGCTTAGTTCTGCTGACTCACCTTTTCTTCTGGGTCTCTGCTACTTCCAAAATGAGCCATGATCAGATCCACTGCACCGCTCACAGCTCTCAGCAAACCTGGACACAGCGTACAAGAAACACAAATCTAGACTTCTTTACAGTTTGCTATTTCTGGTAGCAGTTTTATTAAAACTGCTTAAAGTATTTTTTCCATTTGTTTCTAAAAGCCAGTACTGGTTGCTGGGAGGTTCTGACACAAATCTTTTAAATATTTTCCGATTAGTTATTAAAACATATAAGAAACATTTGAGTGCTATCATTTTTTAGGCAACTACAACTTAATTTTAGAAGAAAAACAAAAGATTTTGGTGCTTTTTTTTCTTCCCTTCTACCTTCATTTCTTCATAAATTTAGTTTGAGGAATCTGCAAAAACAGTAAGAAGACGATGGATAGACAAACAGATGGATGATGGACAAACAAATAAATGGACGTAACATTTAAACAGTGAATCGCTGTCACTTTCAATCAGCGAAAATTGAGGTTTGAAAATGTCAGCGTTCCTTTTTCACTCCTTTGTTCTTTTCCATATTTATCTAGAAGTGGAAAATACTTAACCGATGCATAGGAGGCCTGCATTTAAACATGACAAACTACCTTTATGGTTCAATAATGTTCTTAATCGTTTTAAATGTGAACTCTATCTGAACACAGAAGAGTCAGTTTTCCATTTCGGCAGCGTTGCTCTTTTCTGTGCTTTGCTCTGCCTCTCGTCTTTCATCTAATGCAGAGTAGCCCATGCAAATGTCACGGTAAATTCTTTATGCGTGTTGAAGCTGCCTGCAGCTCTTTCTCTTTGCCGCTGCTGCAGATGCCTCCGACTACGAATAAATGCTGTGGAAGAATCCGATGTATCTGATTAACTTTGCATTAAGTGGCGCTTGTGGTGGCACTGGGGCAAAAATGATTAGGTACGATTTAAATATTTATCACTGCTCCATCAGTTTTTGTCTCATCTTGGAGTCTGCAGTCTCTCTCTCTGTTTTTTTTTTTTTTTTTTTTTTTTCACACACACACTCAGGCTGGGGAGCAGAGAGCTCAACCAATCCTGAGCAGGGATGGTTAAAAATAGGTCATGTTTGAGAGGAAGCCCCTTCAGGGTATTGAAGGCACTGCTGCAGCACGCTGAGGTTTTATGCTTTTTTTAGCAGCTTATCCCTGGCAAGATGATACCAACATTGGGCAAATTTTGTTGCAACCAATAGTTCATTTTCACTGTCTTCCAGATTCAAATTTAGTAATAGTCCATAACACTTCGTTGATGCTTGCTTGTGCCTCTGTCCTGAGGTGACCCTCACCTTTCCTCTGCAGATGACTGATAGACATCGACTCGTATGATGTATCCGGCGAGAGGCAGAACTCTGCGGGCGGCCTGCTGTTCAGGATCAGAGACTGGCTGTGCTGACTCTTAGG